TGTACCACTGGTCTCAATATCAATTGTCCTTGTGACAACTGTCCTACCGATCAACCCCAGTGTTCTCCACAAGACTGTGTTGGCCAAGGAGGAATATGCTCAACTGGAACCGCCAAAGGATGTGCCTGCAGGGAATGTCCTCAAGACAACCCACAATGCTCTTCCCTCGGCTGTATGGGAAGAGAAGGGAAGTGCACCAGAGGAATAGACGCTGGATGTCCATGTAATATGGAATGCCCGCATCCGGCAGACCTGGCTTGTGAAGACGCAACCTGCGCAGCAGTCACTGGGAACTGCACAGTTGGCGTCTTGGATGGTTGTCCATGTCTCTACAAACAATGTCCTGACTCCCTACCCTTTCCCGAAGGTGATGCACCTCCAAACTGCGCAGACTGCGGCGGATCTTTAGGAGCCGGAGTTCCAGCCTATGCTCAATGCAACGGAACCATCAACTCCTCTGATCGCCCCACCCTGAGAGAATGTCACTGTCTCCCGTTCCCGCGTGCCCCAAGTCTCAAACCCGTAAACGATACCATCCTGAATCAAATCAGTGACGCCTGGAAAGAATGGCGAGACCATGTCTCATCATCAGATACGTGGCCATTAGATACCTCCGAACGCCTCGGTCCCTGTCCCGAACCACAAATACCCGAGGTCCCAAAGATTAATATCAGGACACAGGCCTTCAACTTCTGCTATCAAGTAAAAGGCACAATCATTGACTCAGATCCCAACTACGGCCTCCGAGACACCCGCACGAGTACGCTAGTCTCACTCAACCTGCCAAACAATGACCTTTACGCCTGGATAAGCATCTACCGACGACCCAATCTCCCTTCCTCCCACAAATGCGGTCCTAATCTACTCGACAATTACACATTGGACGTCAGCGAGTGCGTCCTAGCCTTCAAAGAAGCATTCACATCCTGCGAGGAAGAAGGTGATCTCTCCCGAGGAGGTAACTTTCCCGGTTACTGTCTAGCCTACGAAGTAATTCCCACCCTTCAAACCACCCCCTATAATCCCCCCTGGGCTCCAGACGCAGCTCCCAAAATCGACTGCGGCAACGGAGGAATCCCCAGTTCAGGAGTAAGATCAGACTTTTGGTTAGGAATGTTTACCAATTTCTGTTCCAACCCCTCAAACTTCGACGGGAGTGACAAAACCTATATCCAATCCGACTACAAGTCAAACGATTTCATCCCACCAAACAGTAATTATCCCGACAACATGCCCCGACCTCAATACGGAAACAACTGGCAATTCATCTTTTCCTTTCAATCTTCTCCATCCTGCCAAGCAACTTCCTCTCTCTGTTTAGACTCGTTCAACTTGATAGCAACCGAATCCTCCTGCGGTCAAGCAGGCTTCACCAACCAAGAAATGGTTTCCTCCGGTTCAATCATCCCATCACCCGGCTGCGAGCTAAAATACAATATAAACCCCCCAGCAACCTTTGACATATCCTGTAACATGTCCTACCTCTACTATCCACCCCCACCCGTCCCTGGAAGCGAAGTGATCATGTACATGACCGAAGGAATGGCATACGCCGGCATCGACGAATTCTGTTTTTCTTCCTCTCCTTGGTCAATACAGTATCCTGCTCCCGCGAAAATGAACGATGGTCACTATGCATACCACGAAAAATTCTATGGATATCAACGCATCCGAGCCCAGGCAGTATACGCAAACAATTGGCCCGGGTTCAACGCAGGCGGGGTATCCAACGATCCTCAAATTTCGTCCGAATGTGCGAATTGGATGCATCCCTTGTCTGGGTACAAACCGGATGGAAACAGATGCAAAGAGATTTTAATGGCGATATGGAAAAGGTGTAATACTTTGCAAGCGTTGACTGGACCGCCGGAACCTGCAACAAAGGGAGGATGGGCTATGGAGCATGAAGACAATAATGGATGCATAGTATATTCGTTGGAGTCTTATATAAAGAGGGTTGGGTATGGGACGGGCCAGTCGCCTACTCTTGAGGGATGGGATGGAAGGAATGGGACTTTTGGTGGTGGGAATGGGACATCGAATTTCAATGGAACTGCGGGGGGGTTTTGGAATGGGACTGCTCCGGGGGAGAGTTGGAATGGCACGGTGTCTTTTCCTTTCAATGGGACTGCTCCTGGGGAAAATTGGAATGGAACGGTGCCTCTGCCTCTGAATGGAACGTGGACTTGGTGGATGAATCAGACGTATCAGGTCATTGAGGGGGATCCGGTGAGTTGTCATCTTGACGGTCCTGGAGGGCTTGGAAGGGCCTGTTGATAAGGAATGAGAAGACAAAGCAAAAGTACCTATCAGAGAATAATGAACCCTGAGATTTTGTTGATTTTTGTTTGGGGTTGTCAATTGACCCCAATGTGTGACAGCAATGATTCCGATGTTTCTCATTGGCAACTGCCAGAATCTTCCAATCTGCAAGCCAACTGGCCCAGATGTGAACAACCTTTGGAAGCAACCTGGAAGTTGCTTACAAGTGCCGATTGAGTTCCGGATCAAGTTGAAGTTGGGCAAGTAAGCTCTTGCGTCAATGATCACAAACCGCTGTCTTTCAGATCTCGATCTACCGTGTCTGGATGGCCCCATCCGATAGGCAGCAGCATGAAGCCCGAGATCGATCCAGATATCGATCAAGATAAACAACCAGCCAAACCCAACAATTCCCGCTGAGCACTTGCCATCCACCGACGACCATGAAAATCGTCACCGGTTGCCCACTTGAGACTCTGTGACTCCCTAGTGAATCTGCCCAAGACAGGGCATGTAGCTCAATACCTGTGAACATGAGAGATGATCAGAAAGCAGATATCCTCTAGTTTGATCATGTTGTTCTCCTGTGAATGGAACCTGTGTTGGTTCTTGTATATTCTGGCTCCCCCTGATCTGAAAAAGGCAAACCTCCAAAAGTCCAAATTGCCCATGTCCCGTCTCTTGCCGTGCAGCACTTGCTTCGACGGGGGGTGCGGACTCACTGTGATCTTGATCATGACAAAACATGACACCACTTGGTGATGGTCCTTCCCTCGATGGTCTCCAAGTCCTTCGTCGCCCACCGCCAGTCCGGTCCTGGTGCCCCAGAATGATGTGTATATAATGCCCTCCGTGTCTCTTCTGCTGAGAAAAAAAATCTTTCTTCTTCAAACAGTTTAAGAAACATCAGCGTGGCATTTTTATTGTGACCTTTAGAAGACGGTCTACAGTATCATTATTAGTGAGCTCCGATCTTTCTTGATTAATCACAGCTCGCTCTGGGGCCCCGAGTAAGGAGACGGTGAGACCTGCATCGTCATATGCTGCGTCTCCTCACACTGACTGTGACCCCACCTAGGTCACATGGATGGCCAATCCTAGATAGACGATGTTCGAACGTTCTGTTGCGTCCTGACTCTCTCATATCAGCGTTCGCTTCTTGATGAGAACTACATTGAGGGGGTTTCCCCCCCTTTTCATTGAGATCGCCGTACTCGTGGTGACTCGAGGAAGAAGATGTGGCAGGGTCTTGAGAATGAGTGACATACCTTTTTTTTCTTCTTTTTTTTCTTCTTTTTTTTATGTTGAAGATAATCCCCCAGGTGGTCACAGTTCTCCCAAGTTGACCGTCATCCTCAACTGCTGCCATCACGTTCAACACAAGTTCTCAGCAGATTGCAATAAGCAGCTAAGTCGTTGCAATATTGATGCCCCCAGACCCTCTCGTATGTCCCCCAGACCCCACAAGTATCGCGAACCTTGTACCGAACATATGCTGGTTCTCCCACGCTGACATTGTTACTCTGGTCCCATGGATGGCATTCCTAGATTGACGTTCGGATTTAAGGCAGCCGGGCTCTGCCTGTGTTAAATCTGCCTGTGTCTTGACTCGAGCCAGTGACGATTTTGACTTCGTTCTGACTTCTCCCATGTGAATATTACATCAAGACCACCACTACTCGTGACGATTTGATGAGAATAATCTGGAAGTGAGATGCAAGTGAAGAGCGGAGTGAGATGCCTTTTTCAATTTCAATATGTTTATGGTCCCCCAGAACCTCTCGTATAACCCCCAGATCCCACAAATTTTTGAAGCACATGTGAACCTCGCACCGTCATATGCTGGTTCTTTTCGCGCTGATAATATTTATCCCCAGAGCGAAATGGATTCCTAGACCTAAGAAGAGAAAGAGAAGAAGGAGAAGCAGAAGAAGAAGAGAGCCAGTTAAAATACTTTTTTTTCCTTGCCACAAGACGACCGGATTATTCGGTGGGTTTCCAGAATATTCACCCAGACATGTCGAGGTTTTGGTCCAGATGCTAAACTCCTAAAAAGATAAGGGTTTTTGGAGGACCCTGCGTGCATTTGTGACGTGTGTGGGTGTGCCTGTTTTTTTTTGGCAGATGACGGGTGTCAACGGATTGGCACTTGGCGTCGGTGAAGAAAGTAGTGTAAAATTTGAACCGTTGGGAAACTTCATTGTGGACGGGATATTGGGAAAGTTCCATCTTTTGATTGCGTTTTTGGGCTTGAAGACTTGTGCCCATGGGAACCATCCGTTTTGTAAAATTTTACGCAATCCAAATTTCCCAATCAACCCGTTCAATCACAAATGAAACAGCTCACTCATAAGGCATTCTGCCGTTGCAGGTGTGAAACAATGGCAGTGAGAATGATTGGCGGTGTTTATTAGGTTTTTGAGGCGTCTTCGACTATCAATATGTATCTTCCCAGTCCCTCCTCTGCCACTCTACCTAGGTCACGATGAAGATTGGGGGTGACGTTAGCGGATACGACTTTGTTAAAAGACAACGGAATCCAAAGTGTCCCAGCTCTGTGAGATCACTCATTTGGCTGTTAGACTGGAGTCCAGTTTATCTCGTGTCGGCTGCCGCGGTTCTTAATGTGAGGTTTCGCTGCAGTGTTCGTCTCGTCTTTTCACCAAGAGCGGTCTTGCTAAAGAAATGAAAGTACGAATCCCCCATATTGTAGAGTTGTAAGGCCTGTCGTGAAGCAAGCCCGCATGGCTCAGTGGTAGAGCGTGTCACTAGTAATAGTTAATGACAAGGTCGTCAGTTCGATTCTGGCTGTGGGCATTTTTTTTCCTCCGTTGTTTCATGGACGGGCACCGTGAGGATTTACTTTTCAAGCTTCTTACTCATGAGTTCTTTTTCACTTGTTTCCCGGCAAGGGAATAGAATAGGTATATGGGTTGGCTTGGTCTTGATGGCTGATTGGTCAAAGTGGACGGAAGTGCGTCTGTGCACCCGCGACATTATCGTGCTGATGTGAGAATCCAAATGCATTTGAAGCAAAGGGGATCTTTATGCGTGTGTCACTAGACCACCAGACCTTGTGGTATCTATCTTTGACCCGAAAAATGTGGTCTAGGTAGATGAAGATTTTGGCTGGTAGGCACTCAGAGGGCGTTTCCCGTTTTGCTCCACCTCATCTTGATGACATCAAAAACTGTGACATCTGATAATCTTGGCAAACTGCACCCCAAATTGGGAATAAGCTGACAGGAGGTTACAGCTGAGGCATCTTGCAAACTTGGCTTGCCAGGTCACCAAATCTTAGTCCATACATCATCAAATACGGTATCATCTTTCCGGACTGTACGCTGGCAAAACATCGTTCCCAGGATTTGCAATCTTGTAGTTTACCGTGTTTCTAAAATAAAATAAAAAAAGGAAGAGAAAGACGCCGTCCCTTGTTCTAGGCGGGGACTTTTTGCGCTAGAAAGTTAAACTCAACAGGGGGCCAATTTTCTCCAGTTCTCAGTGCCTAACTTTAGTGCTGACAATCCATTCCCTATTTTCGTTTCTGCAACGACAAGCAGCTTTCCGTCGGGAAATTGATTGACACGGCAAAAAAACTCTTGAGACGCGATGCAAAAGAAAAGGAATTGGGGGAATCCCCGATCCGGCAACCACGACGGGTTCGAAACGGCCCCTGTGGCTTTCTCCAATCGTGTGATCCTCCGAGCGCATTTGTGATGAGAGCTTTTTGAGTTTTGTCCCACTCCAGGAAAGGAAAAACCCCGAAGCACAAGTTCTCCCCCAGCCACAACTCTTTTTTGGTCACAATGAATGATCAATGATGCTAGGATCGACAATGATCGAATCAGATTACACTATAGTGATTACCTCAGATAATTCGTTTTAAGGCATCCTACTCACTTTTTGCTAGGCCATCTGGGCATCTGGGCTGAGTTGTTCCCCTGGCGTGGTGGCTGAGATGCCAAAGGTTTTTCGTGTCTGTGATTGGTCACAACTCACGACAAAGCTCCATCCCCTGTAGCTTTTGACCAGGGGAGGCAACATCCCACACTGCCACCACCTGCATGATGTGCCCAACATTTAATACTTCTTGTCTGCTCTTTTTTTATTTTCTTGTTCCTTCAGTCAAGATCAATTCAATTTTTTTATTTTCTTTTTGTCAATTCTTTTTTTTTTATTCCCATTTCCATCGAACCGAATCTCCTTGCGGCGTCATCATCACTTATTAGCCCCGCCTTCACACACAACCACGCAAAATGGCAAAAGCATATATCGTGGGCGATTCTTCGCCATTTCTCAAGCGCGTCTTGATCCCCTTCTGGGTCATTCGCATCATTATCATGCTTATCCAAATTGCTGTCTATGCTCTCCTTCTCATCGGTCTGGGAACCTACAAGGACGACGTTCGAAGACTTTACGACGAATACCACACCAGGCTCAACTACAACATTATCGTTGCGGTGACCGGTGTCATTATGGGCATCACCTTCATTTGCTTGATCATGGATATCGTATGCATAATTAAGCGGGCCAGACGCACTCTCAGCCCTCGCCTTTTCTTGATCGTCAACGTCATCCAATCGGCCTTTTACATCGTCAGCTTTATCCTCGCCATGATTGGCCCCAGACCCAATGCCGTCACTATTATTGTTCAGGTTCTCATTCTGTATGTCTTCTTTATAACATATCTCTCTCTCCGTTCGTTCACTGACCAATTACCCACCAAACAGTCTTTCCTTCCTTGGCCTGCTCATTTATGCCTCTGTTGTTTTCCACCAGTTCAGGAAGGGCTCTCTCCGTGCCGACTACGTCCCCGCTCACAACCCCGAGTCTCACACATTGGTGGCCAACGGCAACACTGGCTACCCCCAATCCACCGCCTACGGCCAGCAGGATTACCCTCAGGATTACCCCAAGCCCGCCTACTATGATGGCGCTTCTCAGGCCTACTCTGGCCAAGCCTACGCCGCCCCTCAGCAAACTGGTTACGAGCCTAACCGTGCCCCTAATGTTTAAAAGTTTTTGATACCCGTGTGATTCAGTGGAATTGGGGGTTGTTGGAGAGATTCAGGGGAGCGGCGTTGATGTGGGAGATTTTATTTTGTCTAGTCTTGAAACGTATTTAGCGTTTGGCGGGAAACATGGAACATTTTTGCAATCGGTAAATGGGATAGAAGTATGTGCACGGATTGCACATGGAAGTAGGACAATACAGTATATAGCTAAGAGTGAATGATTGGTAATGATAGTTTTTGGTTACATTTGGGTTTGTTATTGGGTGTTTGGCTCTGATCTTTGAGTTCAATGTTTGTGCCGCTTTGCAACACCGGGAAACTGCCTGCCGAGTCCGATCTCAAACAAACTCGGCCGCATACGCCGCTCCTGATGGCCCGGACGGGGTTCGCCTTGAACTCGGGTATTGGGTTTTTGGGACTTTGCCTACTTATATCTCCGAATTCTCAAGCAAAAATGGATGAGCGAACGGATGACGCAACTACAACGCGGCAATTACCAATTGATAGAGAAAGCATACCTAACAACGTATTCATTACTTCCATGATCCTCACACAAGATGTGTGGTATTTATGGGAAAGCAGTCGTTTTGAATGCAAAAATCCCTAACTAACAGTTTAATCAGATCTCACCCTCTCTGCACCTTTAACCTCCTTTTAATAATGTTCATGTTACCTAGTCATTTTCATCCTGTGTTTTAAGACTTGCTTTCAACTGGTAGAAGTAATGTCTACTGCTTTCAAAATCTTATAACTGCTGGCAGTGATATCAAGTTCTGTATCTCTTGGCAAAGTTGGTCTGTTGATGTCGGAACAAAGAAGTCTTGGACTGAATATACCCTCAACCATGTTCGAGTGGAACCAAAATCCAAAGCTATGAGGGAATCATTCCCATTGGCCATCACCAGACTCACCACCAAAAAGGAACCTATCACGTCCCACCACTTGGCCCACGCTACCCCAATGCCAACGCAACCCTGCACTCCACCCACACACACGCATTTTTCGATAACCTCACTTTTCGTGATGCCCAACTTCTTGTTTCTTCACCACAACCCAAAATTAGGCTTGCATGTGCATAAATAAAATCAGCAAAAAAAAAAGACCCTACACACATTGGCGAGCTGTCAAATTCCCTTGGTCGGGAATCATTTGGTGACTCCGCCACGTACTTTTTTGTTGATACATGTACCCCAAATAGCGGTGTTGAAAGTCATGCGGTTTCCCAGCAGATTCTCCAATTCTCCAGCTTTCTAGCCTGTTTCACTTTTTTCTTTTTCTCTATATGTCTCTTGTCTGGGCTTTGTCCCTTTTTCTCCGTCTTCCATGTCTTATACACCTCAGAGACCGCCTTCCATAGCGCGTTCATATAATTCAGTCTTTAGAGAAGAATTCGACTCACGACATTCGTTACCTTTATTTGACCGCGGCGGTCGGGGAAATACCGTCGAGATGGACACCTTGCCAAGATCTCATACGCCGAGAGAGATGCGAAGATTGGCTTCGGATCACAATTTTGTTCTCGGCGCTTCTTCGAAACCACCACGTCTTGGATTGTGGCCTTTTGTGGTTACTAATCTTTCACTTCCTGTTGCATTTTGTGCAGGAATCGTCTGTTTGGTTGTGTCGATCGTGTATACCGCTGTGACAAGCAAGCGGGTTTTGGAGTGTCCGGAATGGGCTATTGGGTGTCGACGAGTCGACAAATGGACGGCAGAAAATCTGGGAACAATCCAGGGGGTAATCACCATGATTTATCTGATTGGGATGGCAGGTCTGGGGCATGCAACTTTGTTGTTTTGTGAAGCAGCAATCTGGCCATTGGCACACAAACAATGGTTCACACTGGGAGGACTCAACGCTTACCTCGCAACCACTCGGGGATCCATCATGTACGCCCCTGGGGCCATCATGTCTGTCAAATCACTTGCTGCAGGAGGAGTTCTTGCTGCGGCTCTTGTGGTGACATTGCTTCCCGTCTCTGCACCACCAATCATCGGTCATGCTTTCACCCCTATATGGCAAGAAGTTGAGCTCAAAAGCAATTACACAACTGGAGGAGGAATCACCGAGTTATATGCTCAAACAAACCCCCCAACTTCAGTTATTGTTCAAGTTTTAGCCAACTACGCATCATGGGCAACAAATCCATCCTCAGAACCTTTGCCGGATCACCGAGACTGGTACGTGGATAGACAATTTTTGAGTGAAAGAGGCAATCTCTCGGCCAACGCAGTCAAACTCAATACCTCAATCTCTTGCATCCCACACGAACTGGAGCAATTCACCAGAGATAACGTCTTTTGGAACGGCTTCAAAACCAACATGTCCCGGACAAACACCAATATCCCTGGAGACAAAGCCAGCAGCTCCGAAACTTGGTTTCGTCCTCAACCTGGACTTACTCTATGGGCAGACAGCTTTGACTTTGTTTCAGAGAACCAGACCCGCACAACCCTTATTTTTGCTTCCATCAACGGAACCATAGAAGGCGGCGCTACAACTCCTTTAACGATGCACAACCTAACCACCGCTTCAGCAATTTCTTGTACAGTCGATATATCCGCCTCGGATTCAGTGCTCACTCTACACCCTTCAATATCTCCTCTCCCGACCCTCTCGTCCCTCTCTTTTTTAACCTCTCCTAACTCTTCTCTCAATGAACTACTCCTCTGGTTCACAATCTCCCCCCTCCTAACTGGTCCCTCAATTGACGGCGCCCAACCGACTTTTTATAATTCGTCAACAACCAATCGACCGATTCCTTTTACCAGCCTTGCAATCCCCCTTTCCGAATCTCAA